CAATCTCATTCATAATTTATTAATAGTCTTAACGAAAATAAATTTTAAAAAATTCAATTTCTTATGTATACCTAATAATAAAACATATATATATATATAAAAATATATATATATATATTTTAGTTAAATTATTATAATTTTAATATATTTTTACTTTTTTAATATATTTATTTCTTAATTGTTTCTCTAATTTTAATTTTTTTAAAGTATATTTATTGCTGTCTTTGATTATAATTCAAAAAAATTAATTTGAATTTTAATTAATAACCTCTATTAATTAGTCTCCTTTAATACAAAAGTTATTACTATCATTAACTCCTTATTCTAAATATTATAATTTATTTATATTAACAAAAAAGTATAAAAAATTAAAAGATTAATAGCATAATTCATAAAATAGTTACCAACTTCATAATTACCATTTTACATAAATATTTATAAAATTTATATAATAAAATAAAATATTAATACTGTATATTTTTTAACAAACAAAATATAATTATTTTTTAATAAAAATAATACAGAATTATCATAAGAAAACGTATATTAATTATTATTATGATCATAAATTATTTTAAAAAACAAGAGCTAAAAATTAAAATATTTATTTATTGTTAAATTATTTAATATTATTTTTTTAATTATATATTATTTAATAAATAAAATTTTTATAATATTTATTTTATTTTTATTTTTTAAAATTATAAATAAATTAAACTTTATTTATATAAAATCATTTATATATTTTTTGTAGCGTTTATTATTTTCTTTATATATCATCTAATTTTTTTTTTTTCTTATCTTAAATTAATAAATTTAAATTCAAAGTATTATTGGAAAAATTATTATTTTTTTAATTTATTTATCTATTTAAGGAAGCTGATATGATATTTGATTCTTTTAAATTTTTACTAAATAGATAATTTAAAGGATTTAATTAAATAGTATTTTTTTTTTTATATAAAGAATCTTAATTATTATTATATGCTTAATATTTTTTTTTGTTTTTTTCAAAATTAATTTATTAATTTTATTTAAGTGAATTATATTTTTATATATTTTCCTATTAATTTTATTTTTCTCTAATTTTATTTATAGAAAGTCCTTTTGGTAATTCTATTTGTAGATTTTTTGCATTTTCTAATATAGTTTTTGTTTTTCCTACTATATATGGAGTTAAAAAAAATTATAAATAATCGAAAAAAAAAAAAAATTACAAATGAATATTTTTTATAAAGTTTCAGAATTAGAATGAAAGTATTTAAGATTTTAGATAATAAATGTATCTTATTTTTATAAAGAATCAAATTATTTATTTTTATTAGATTTAAATTCAGAAACTGAGAGAATATCCTAGTTTTTAAGTAATTAATTTTATTACTTTTTTAATTCTTTTCTTTATAATTCAAAGAATTCTTCTTCATAAATATTTTTTTAATCAGTTTAATCTTTAAATTACTAGTTTTTTTCTTTTATTTTATAATTTAATTTCTTAAATTTATTTTGTCTTTCAGCCATACATGTTTTTGCAGCTAAATCTTATATAATACTTTTTGTTTAATCTAAATCTAAAGTAATATGATTATTTTTATTAAAACTGGCTTATTTGTTATTTTCAGAAAGTAAATTAATACATATAGGCTAAGAGTCTGAATTTGATGAAATTAATAATATTTAAGGGGCCTAATTATCATGTATATTATTTAATAATTAAATATCATTAATATTTTATTAGCTTAAGATATTTTCTTCTTCATTTTAATTTAAAAATTTTTGTAATTTTTCAGCTTATTACTAAAATCTCTATTTTTAGTCTTAATTAATTTTTAATAATTCAGGCTTTATTTTACTTTAATTTGCTTTATATAAATAATTATTTGAAATATTAAATATTTTTTTTTAAGTTACAATTTTTTATTTAGGAAAAAACAAAGATTAACTACTGAGTTAAACTAGAAATAATTTATTCAATAATTTTTTAGTAATTGCCTATTGATTCCTTCCTTATTAACATTATTATAGATTCTGAAATTACAAATTCTTTAAAAAAATCAATTTTATTTTCTAAAGAATCTTCTTCAGTTTTAAATTGGCGGCTTTCTAAAATCAAACTTTAATAATCTTCTTTTTTAAATTCCTTTTGATTGGATTCTTTTTAAAAGTTTTGATTTGATTCTTCTTAAAAGTTTTAATTTAATTCTTTTTAAAAGTTTTAATTTGATTCCTTTTAAAAGTTAAATTATAAAATTTTTTATATTGTCTGATTTTATTATTCGGTATTTGAATTTAAAGAATCAGAAGATTAAAAAATATTTATTTCGTCTATGGTTTATATTTTTAAGTTTTATTATATATTATATGGTGTTAATTCTGTTTTAGAACTTTATAATTATGTATAATTTGATAATAATAAAGCACTTTTTTATTTGAAAAATCTGCTTTTTCAAGGCATTCAACCACTATTTTTTATATTTAATCTAATCTTGTAAAAAGAGCAATTACTAAATCCTATTTTTATTTAATTTTTTTTTTTTTTTTAAAAAAAAAAAAACACACATTTTAAATTAAATCTAAGATAATTTCTTTGGCTTCAAATATAAAATTTGAAGAAACATTACTAGAAACAATATATTTTAATTATTCAAAATTAATAGGAAAATAATTATTTAAATCCTAAAATAAAACAATATTTTCTTTTTATTTAAAACTTCCTCTTAATTAAGTAATTGTATTATCGCTTTAACCCGAAGTAATCAAAATGCTTTTATGATTTTTTTAATATGGTGACAATCTAATACTTTTTTTATTTGAAATATTTGAAATGTCAGTAATTTTTTTTCCTATTTATTTTTTCATGAAACCTTTCTTGAACTTTACAATTTACTTATGTATTAAATCGAATTTAATTTAATCAGATACTTATAAATTAATATATCCTTTATCTAAAATTAAGTTAATTAAAGAGTTAAACTTTTATAATATCTTAAATAAAAAACTAAGTATTAGTATCATAATTCTATCAAAATATTACTTCTCTTATTCGGCTTTTTATATACTTAAACGTAAAATTGTTTTTTATTCATGATTGTAATCTTATTATTTTTATTCTTCCTTTTTTAATTATTGTTTAATTTATTTTTATATTATTTTGTAAATAAATTTTGAATATTTTACATTAATATAAATTTATTTTGATTATTCAGCTATTATTTTTAATTAGTTTAATGTATTTGATAATAAAACTTTGTTCTTTTATAACTCTTCGAATTTTTTTTATTAGCTTTATTACAAAATTTACATTTAAAGATATTATTATAATAATTAGTCAACTAATTCATTTGGTGTAAATTCTATATTTTCAAAATATTAATTTACCCTATTGATTATTTTTTATCTATCCTTTTTATTTTTTTCATTTTTTTTATTTTATTTATTTTATTTATAATTTACTTCTTTTATTTATAGTCTTGTATTTGAATAATTTTTAATGCGAGAATTTTGTGAAGTAAAATATTTACTTCCTGATTATGATTTGAGTAGACTTTAAGAATTTTATAAATTTTAATTTTCTAATGAATTGTTATGTACAGTCTCTATATCTACTTTGTTAATGAAAATTCTTTTTATTATTTTATGATAGAAATTATAAATATGCTATTTATTTACTTTTATAATTTTTCAAAGCAATTTATATTTTCTTCAGTATATATAGATAAGGATCTTTATTATTATATTAAATCATACTATATTTAATCTAAATTATTTATTATTTTTTATTAATCCTCTATCTCAATTTTTAGCTGATCTATTTAAGCTAAAAGTTCAGAAACTAGATATTTTTCAAACTATAAACTTTAATTTCCTAATTTTAAGGATGCAGTGTGATATTAAAGTGTTTCTGATCCAACTTCGAGGAGTATTTTCAATTTTTTTTTATGAATATTTAAGTTTTAATTAGATATTTACTTTTATTAAATTTAAAAAATATAATTTACTATTGTTATTTTACCATTTACTAATATGATTTAATTGTATTCTCATGCGTTTTAGAGTTTCTTTTATCTACCATTTATATTAGTAATTAAAATTCATAATTATTTTTTCGAATATTTGACTATTATGGCATTTTTTTATTTAAATTAAAAAAAAAAAATCTGGTTGTTTTATTTTATTTTTACTATTTGCATTTCATATTTTTTAATTGCATATTTATTTTAATTTTCTACTGAACATTAAGTTATCGAATCATTTTCTATTTATTCAATATTTTATTTGAGTTCTAAAATTCTTTATTTTAGTTATTCTTTTTCGTATTGAATTTTATTATCACTTTTTTCACTTTCATCCATGTTAAGAAAAAAATTATATTCGTTATCACTTTTTTTTTAAATCAATGTTTAAAATGATTATAAGAAATTGAACAAAGACTACTATTTTTCTAAATTATTTTTAATTAATTTATTTACAATGTTTTTATACTATTTATTGTTTTAAATAAAAAAAAAAATTATATACTTCTTATATTAAAATATATTAAATTGTATGAATTACTTATTATTCGATTTAATTATTTTAAAATTCTTTTTATTTCGATTATATATTTTTATATACGTTAAAGTCAGTATTTAGTTAATCCATTTTATTTTAAATATTTAATTTATGTTAGACTTCTATTAATTTTTAATCATCAAATTATTATGAATTTTATCTAGAAAACTTTTTTAACATTTTATTTTTTAATTTCTAAATAAAAAATAATAAGAATGATGTTAAATATTTTTATAATTTTAAGTATAACGTATATTAAATAAAAATGTAAATATTAATATGTATATAAATACTTATATTTACATTAATAATTAATATTTTTAAATAAAATAATATAAAATTTATTTTTAAAATGAAAATGTTTTTAATATAAATATATATGTATATAAATTTTATAAATAAACAATTTTTTTAAATATTTTATAAAATTTAATTTAAAATAAAAATTCTCATCATTCTCCTTATAAATAGAAAACCCAAGGTGGATAATCGGATTTTTCTAAAAAATTAATATATAAAAAATACATATTATGAATAAAATATTTTACCCATTTAAATAATTAATCTTCCATTTGTAGAAGTACCTTATTAAAATTTATAAGCTATATTTATACTGAGATTTTTTTTTCCCTTAGATTTGAAAAAAATTAAAATTAAAATATATAAAAATATAAAATACATCGATTTTAACTGGATTTTTCACACTGCAACTAAAATTAGGATTATCAATTCTTAAACTAAATTCAAAGGGTTCAAAGAAAGGATTTTTGAATTCTATAGGAGCTGATTTAGCTCCTCCGATTTTATATGGACCTTTAGGTTGAGGAGCATATGAAATTCCATATAGCATGCAATTATATTCACCACCCTCCGCACTTGTAATATATAAAATGGCAGAAGTTTCACCTAACATTGAAGGTTCAAACTTTATATTCAAACTAACTTCGTTGCCTTCTAAAGTTTCAGCAGGAGGAGCCAAAATAGTAGGTTGCTCAACTGAGAAGTCAACTTGAACTGGAGGAAGTTTGGCTTTCGGATCTACAGGATTTTATACTTTAGCTCCTATTTTATCTACACGGCATATATAGGTAGTTTATTTTTTACAGAAATTAGTAAATTTAAATGTTTAGGTTATGTCAGATCCTAAGGATGCTTTTAAAGTAACGTTTCTTTATATTTATGATTATGCTACTCCTTTCAATTATAAAAGATATACAAATTATCCTAATTCAGGCGAATTTAATGTCACTTTAGATTATTCTTCTTTTATTAATAATGGTCTGAATACTATTTCAAATCCAAATTCCTTTTTTATTTTATTTTAAATTTTTTTTTATTTTTTTTTTACAGAATTCGGAGGAATAGTAAATGAAGGAGGATTTATATATACATTATCATTTTCTACTATAAACATTTCTTTTTTAACATCAATAGGAAACGAGAGTGGATTAATTACTGTAATTAATTTACTTATTGTTTCTCTTACTATTGCCGACATTTCTATTTTTTATGCGAAATCAGGTGGTTATACAGTTAGATTCTTTTTTAATTTTTTATTAATTATAAAAAAATATTTTTAGATAAATAATTTTTACAATTTTATAAGTTAGAAATTCAAAAGTGGTAACATTTTTATATTAAATGGTGATTTTTGAAGAAGTTTACTTTAAACAAAATATGCTTAGTTTGTATTCTTTAACAGAGTCCCCAGCTACATCATATGTATTAGCGCCGTTAATTAATATAGTGGGATCTTGGTTTTCCATTTTCCATTCTACTGCAAATCTTTGAGTTTATTTCAACCAATTTTTAATTGGAATTATTTACATATAAGTGCTTTTGGCTTTAGTTACTATATCAAAAGTTTAAATAGGGGCTGGAGGTGTGGAATATCCAAATAAGTTATATAATATTGCATTTCCATCTGGTAAAGGGAAAAATAAAGTGCTTTCATGACAGCTTTATTTTATTTAAGGAATTTCAGGGTTCGAAGTCATGGTTAATGGAGAATATATAATTTCATAATCTGCAGATCCATTTGCAGGTATTTCAAGAATTTCCTTTCCATAAAAATAGCCTGTGTAAGAAGGATTATTAGCATTAATAAGTACTTTTATTCTACAAGCTTCAGCTATGGGATTTTTTATGGTTACTTTTTGTTTAGCTTAAGAACGCACCATAGCTGTGAATTTAATATCTAGAATTTATTCAATAGGCTAGGCAATACATTTTCCTAATAAATTAATATATAAAGGCTAAGAACCTTCAATATCACATCTAACCTTCGTGAATCTTATATCATTATCCACTACATCAGGATGAAATATAATAGTAAAAACGGAATCTTCATGGGGAGGTAAAAATCCTTTTATGGGATTTATAGTAAAATATTTAGAACAATAGGAAAAGTCCCATTCGAATTTTGCACCTATATCTCCCATATTAGATACTGTGAGTGTTTTCTATTTTTTAGAGTTTATAACTACTACTCCGAAACCTATATTTTCTTCAGTAAGCTTTATTTCAACTCCATGACATGCTCCGTTTATATTCAAAAGCTTTCTTTGTTCTTAATTATCTACTATTTTATAAAAGAGTTCTTGTTTAAATTAATGTAAACGAGTTTAAGGATGAAATAATATTTCTACATCCTTATATCCTTTGGAAGGTATTTAAAATTCTTCTTCAGAAGGAAATAAATAAATGAAATTTTTTTAGAATTCTTTTAGTTAGTCATTCAAATCAAATGTTATATTTATTGGTTTTTTAGACAGATTTAATACACGAACAACTTTTTAATTATCACTTCCAACTCTTGCAACTCCGAAATCAATATTTTAGTCTTGGGTATTTTCTAGTTCAAGTTTAAGAGGAATGCCTTCTCCTTGTATTTTTACATCAATTTTATGTAGACCGTTAATATCGAAAGTGATTGTTTCTTCATATTTCTTACTTTCTCTTGGTGTTAGTATGATTGGAATTTTAAGAATATTATTTTCGTGAACTTATATAATACCTTTTTTGTCTTTAAGTGTTTCAGTTTAGAGAGGTAAAATAACCTATCCTGGGGGCAAAATTACATCTAAATAATTTGTTTTCTCAAAAGCTGTTTCTACTGACATTGCTGATTAATCTCTGTTCCTCATTTCTAAATATACTGTTATTGGAAGAGGTTATTTTAATACATATTATGGTCCGAAATCGTAGGAGAAAAACGAAAGTTCAACTCCTGGTTTACGAGCAGTTCCTTAAAGTATAAATTAGTAAGAAGGGCCACTAGAAATTTAAAGCATGAATGATGTTTTATTGTTAAGTTTTATTTCTTGTAAAGGTGCAAATTTAACTTCAATAAGGAATTTATCGTTTTGTTTCACAGTACCGTTTTCAGGAATTATCTATATGTATTAGAGATGTTATTAGGATTTTTTTATTGAGAAATCAAAGTTGAATTCTCCAGAATTTTCGACTTGAATAATTTTAGATCTTTTTTCATTTACATAAATATCTCCTAGATTTAACAGATGAGCTTATGTATGGTCTAATATAGTTCCAGGAATTTATTATAAAGATACGGAATGATGTAAAATATATCCTATTCCTTTCACATTTAAAGATATGGGTCTACTTTTTCTTTTTACGTTACACAACAAATTATAATTAAAGGAAGTCTCTACTTTAGGCGTAAAGCAAATTTCTATATTTATATCTGAATTAGCATTTATTGTTCCTTATATAGGGCTTACTTATAAGGAATCAGCATATTCCGGATCTCCTTTTATTGTGTCTCTTTCAAAAGAAAAGAACATAGGTACATTTTCTATATTTATAATTTTTACAGTTTCATTGTTTTTACCTCCTAATAATAAAGGGCCAAAGTTTACTTTTCCAACATCAAAGAATACATTGGGTTCAATTACAGATCCTACAATTAGGAAGTTTTGGGTTATTTTTTATGAAGAAATTTCAAAATACCAATATGATTCGTGAGTTCCAACTATATCAGGTGTATATTCAAATACCATTTCGAATTTCTTTCCGCTTAGAATTACTCCTTTTTAAGTTAAGCATCTGAAAAAAGTGTCGTTTAGTGTATTTGCACCTGCGGGTAGTTTATATTCTTCGAGTTTTTTCCATTCGAATTCATATCCTACAGATGTAGGATTAACTACATAAAATTTCTTAGTATTCTTTACTCGAGTTCCTAGACTTTCAAATTCTATTATGCTGTATGATTAATCAAGATCTTGCTTTTTTTCCCTATATTTATTTGGTTATAATTCGAAATGGCATACAGGACGTTCTGCTTCACCGTTTAATTATATTACAAGAGGCTATATGATTTAGTCTAAGTTTTCTATAGTTATTATAACGAATCTTTCATTGTTTTCTTCTACTTCTGTTGGGGAAAACTTTACTGTAAATTATTCATCACAATTAGGTGCTAATATTCCTATTTTGTTTAAAAGATTTATAAATATATTTTATTAATATTTTTTTAAAAAAAAAAAAAACCTTATTTTGGTGTCACATAAAAGAAACCAGAATCTATTTATCCAATATCGTTTATATGGGAGATTATTTTACAGGAGTATTTAATATTTATGAGAGATGTATTTTTAACTTTAAAAGTATGAGTCCTTGAGGTATAAATCAAAGTAGGTTTGAAGAAAATTTCTCTTGTATCGACTTCATATTTCGCATAATCTGAAATCGCAGAAGTTTTTAAAGTCACATTAGTTTCTGTTTTTTCAATAATTTAACATTCAGGTTCTTATATAGGTTCTTCGAATTAAATATTTGCTATTTCTCCAGGAAGGGGTGCAGGAGGTTTATCTTCCTTATCAGATTCTTCTTAGAGTTTTTTAAGGGGCTTTTTATCAGCTTTTTTACCTGGTTTTTTAAGTTTGTTTTCTTCTTCTTCTTATTTTCTTAATTCTTCTTCTTCTTTTTTTTTTTTAATCCACCATTCATATTCTTTTTAAGTGACGTATTTAATGTTAGTCATAGAATCATCCCAATCAATAAATTTATCAGAATTTTATTTAATTTGTTTAGTTTCAAGGATTAAAGGAATATTTTTATAAGTTACAGTTTTGTTTGCCTTATAAATTATATTGATGAATTTACTTCCTAGAGCAGGAATATGACCTGTTTTGGGTATAAATGAAAAATCTTCGTTTCCTTAAGTATTCCAAGTGAATTTTATAGGAACGTTTTTATTACTTTTTATTTAAAATCCGACTTAAGTTTTTTTTCCAATTATTTAGTCGTTGAAATTTATTTCTTCTTCTGCTTCATTGGGCAAATTTTCAAATACTATGTCTTCGTAAAAGCCTTCTCCTTAAATCATAAATCTTGTAATTTCGTAAGGATTCATTAATGTTTACATTGCTATTTACCATTATTTTACTCCTGCTTATTTTGGTTTGAATTCTATGTTGAATGATTTGTAAGTTTTATGCGTTAAAGTATAACTTAATTAATCTTAGAATTTGAAATTTTCGTTCATTACTAAATCCCATTTTACTGTTGCAGCTATTTTTCCATCATTTTTTAATACAATTGGAAGTACACAACTCTTTATTATTATTATTATAATTTTATTTTAAAATTGTTATTTTTTACTTTATCTATGCGAACTTTGGGAAACTTCAACAGTGGTGTTGAATCATTAAACCATTCTTTTGGTTTTTCTAATTTTATTGTAGGCATTGCTCCTTCTCCTCTTAAATCAAAAATAAGTTTATGTGTACGAGGATTTTGCTCACCATTTTCAACTATAGCTTCAAAAATACCATTATATTAAGCCATTATTGTTGGCTTGAATAGAATTTTCACATAAGTATGTTCATGAGGATATATCTTGGCCTACTTTTATGCTATTTCAAATGCAAATGGTTCAGTTGAATTTGGATTTCTTTTTCGGACATCAAATTTGACATTACAAGGTATCTTATTATATTTTTTTTATTTTGTTTTAAAAAAATAATAAAAATTTATATATACCTTATTAGGATTAATAATTTTGAATTTTTCACAAATTCCGTCTGGATGTTAAGAAGGGACTAAAGTACCAAAAAAGAAGGTTTTTTCTTCATAAAAGAAAACATTAGAATTAATCATTGAAGTAATATTTTAATTCTAGTTTTAAGATGCGACAATGATTTATTCTTCGAAAATTGTTTCGAAATTTTCACAATTAATGCCAGGAATACAACTTTCTCCTATTAATTCATATAAAATACCTTTAGGTTGATCTTCTGGGTCTCTACAAGTAATATCAATAGCTATTTTCTGTACATATAATCTTTATGAATTTCCTGTAAATTATACTTCTATTATGGCAGAACTATCACTAGGTATAGTTCCTTTACTATTATTTATTGTCCATTATCCTATTTTTAATTATCCTTCAATACCCTTTTAATTTTTATTTTTTTTAAATGCAATATGAATGCATGCATATATATTTTATTTAATATAATACTTAGTTTTTTCCTCCTTTTCCTTTTTTGTCTTATTTAGGAGCTTCTTTTTTCGCATTTTTTTTAGGGTCTTTATTTTCTGTACCAGTAGATGCTAAAGCGGCTTATAATCTGGCTTCTTTTTCTTTATTTTATTCATCTAATAATTATTTTCTAAAATCCTCATCATAGTAATTAAAAATTGTATAATTATACTCAAAAAGACCTTCATTTTTGATTTCGAAAGAGAGTGTTTTACTATCATTAAATTAAATAGGGCCAAAATTAATATTTTTTAAAGGCAAAATAGTATATTTGCTAAAAACAGCATTCACTTTTACATTTATTGGTACTGGTTTATATAATTCGAGCGTTTTACCTTCTAAAATTTCCATAATTATGTCTGTAGTAGAATTATTTGTATTTAATTTAATTTCATTTTAAGACATAAATCTGACCATAATTTATTTTTCTTGTCCAGGTTATAAAGAGACTTTCATAGGTTCTATTTTAAAATTTTCCTTGAATATTTTTTTCTTCATCACAAAACAAAACTAGACCTAATAAAGTCCTATATTTTTAACTGAAAACAGACAATCTTTAACATCTGAAACTCTTACAGCTCCGAAATCTAGCATATTCTCTTAATTATTTTCTGGAAATTTTAATTCTACACTAATATCGAAGGCTTCTGCTTCTACAAGTATACTTTTCGTTTCTTATTTTATGTCTAGTCCTTCACAATCTTAGACTTCTAAATTTATTTAATGAGAAAACTTCTCTTATTTAATAGCTTTAAAGTTTACATAAATTATACTTTCTTGACAAGGTTTTAGCTCTCCTTCGGTATTGGTAAAACTAAATTCTTCTGGTAGCTAATTTATTCCTGTTATTTTCCATATGCAAGGTATTTATCCATTGTTTTTTATTCTAATTTGCTTTTTAGCTTATTAATTTAATAATAATCTTTCGAATTTAATTGGATCTCCTTCTTCAATTGTCACATAAGGCTTTGATCCTGTACATTACAAAGGCAGTATTACAGGTAAAGGATTATCTTATATCATTATTATTATGTCTTCTTTATATTTAATAGGCTATTCAGGAATCGCCCAAACTCTAATTTCTTAAGGAACATCATTTTTTGCAATAAAGAGAATTTCAGGTTCAATCCAAAAAATTCCTTTTTTATATTCAGGATCATTTTAATCTTTTATAGAAGACATAAGTTAAAATTACAATTAAGTATCGAATTTTCCTTAGTTTGAAATTCTAAAAGTACATGAATTAATATTTCTGATTTCGTTTCTTTTTTCGGGATTTTTACCTATAAGTAAAGGTCCGAAATCAAATATATTTTCATTTTGAATATAATACTTTTATAGATAGCTTTCTGGAGGATTAGGAGGTCTGTTTTTTTTAATTTACCAGTATATGTTTTTCGAAAGTTATGATATAGTGGGAAAATCGGCTATTCCTTTTATATTTATCACATAACGCTTATTCGAATAGAAATTCTCGAATTCTAACTTCCCTTCGTATGTGCCGACGCTTTTTGTGAAAAATCTTATCACTAATAATAATGTTTAATTAGCAGGAATTATCCATCTTGTAGGTTTATCAGTTAAATCTTATGGTTTGAATTCGATATTTGGTTATGTTATTTAAGTTATGTTATTATTATTAGTTTAGCTTGAATAACCTAAAAAAGATTTTTCACGTTTTAATGTTGAAGTATTTAATGATTATTATTATTAGGTTTGCTGTTATTGTTAGTTTTATATTTATATTTCTTCTGAAAGTTTGCTAGTTTCTTCGTGTTGAATTTATTCTTCTTCTTACAATTGTATATGTTATTATTTAAACATTTTATTAATAGGAGTGAGAATCTAAAAATATTTAATTGTTGAACTTTTTTCAATTTCAGTTTTTTTCTTAAGAATATTTCTAGTTGGCTTTGTAAGTATTTAATGAAAAATAGGTTCTGGAATAGGTAAAGTATTAACGTCAGGATATATAGGAGGTTAAACTAGCTCTAAGCATGTTTTTTGTAATTATTAAATATTAAAATGAAAGGGAATATATGTTATTTCCCTTGGGCCTTTCATTAAAGTTTAAGTATAATCAATTGGAACTTATTAAGGAATTTCAGGTTCTTCTTCAATTATAGGCTTTCCTTTGGCATCCTTTTTGATTGGTTTTTTTTCTTCTTTTTTTCCTTCCTCAAATACAGGATATAAATTGATTGGATGTTCTATTTTTTCAGTGTATTTATTTTAGAATAATTTAATTAATTCATTTAGTATTTTTAAATCTTTTTCTTTTTCTTCTTAAGTATTATAAGGCTTAGGAAGGAAAATATCAAAAAGATCTTATTCATCTTCTTGTAATTCTTCTTCTTTTTTATATTATAATTATTATTAATGGTCTTATTATTGGTTGCTTTTTTAATTGATATGAACTTTTTATTTAGAAACTTTTTTTTGTTATTATTACTATTTTTTGTTTATATTTTCATTATTATTATTTTTTTTATTTTCATTATTATTATTTGTTTTTTTAGTATTAATAGAACTAGCCTAATCTCTAATTTAAACATTTTCCTCATTTTTAATTAAATCTTACATTCCAGGCCATTCAATCAGTTTCCAGATTTCAAGTCCTTCATCATCAACTTAAGGTTAGAAAACAAGCATTTGAATTTTTTAATTTCCAAAGGCATTCATTAAAACTTTAAGAGTGAATAATTAAGAACTGGAATACTTAGTTTATAATCCATCAAAAATAATACCTGCATTACAATCACGCTCTTTCATTCTATCTTTAATACATTAAACAAAAATATCTTCAGGAAGATATAAGAATTAAGCTTCGTTTACAGGTCCCCATTTATTTTCTAATTCAGGCGCTTTTTTTCCTGCTTTTTTTTTTAGTTTCTCCCTTTCGTTATTAATATTTTCTAATTCCAATTGTTTTTCGTTCAAATATTATTCGGCTAAAAGACCACCTTCGGTTTATTTTTAAATACAAAATTTAATACATTCATCCAGATCAAATATATATTTTCTATATTCTTAAGCTATAAATTTCACGCTTTAAGTTTTCCCACAAGAGGTATGCCCTAAGACTATTATATGATGTAAATTTATGTCTTCTACTTTTTCTGGATATTCATTGATTTTCTCAACTTGTGTTAATTTTTCGTATTCTTTTTAAAGATTTTCCCTTTCTTATTCAGTCAAATTTTCATTTTGTTCGATTTTTTGTTTAATTTAGTTTGCTTTTTTCTTTTTTTCGACACTTTCTTTAATATTTTCCCAAAATAGACCTCCTGGCTATCTTATTTATTCAAAAACTGTATCTTAATTATCGAAGTTTTCATAGTTTTATAAAATCTCTTCATCATTTAAATACATTTTATCGAAATCTAACGAATATAATTCAGTTTCATACTAAGTATTATTTTTTATTTCCACAATCTAATAAGCAAATTAATCGTAAGGTAAAACTGGTCCAATACAAACAGAATTATTTATATCTAAATTAACTTAAACTCCACTCCCTATCATATTAATAACAAAATTTTTAGGGTTTTCCTGTATATTGATTGTGAATTTCCATTAATAATTTTTTTCAGCAGAAGGAGCAAAACTTAGCTACACTATTTATTTTTGGCCGGAAGCTATAATACCATTAGAAGGATTAATAATAAATTTTTGGTCTTCTTTTTTTGAGTTTTATGAAATATCAGGGCGAGTGTTAAGTGACCATATACAAGGAATTTCTTTCAAATTTACAAATCTTAAGTATATTGTCTTTCTTTGTCCACATATCACTTTTCCGAAATCCACCATATCTTCTTGATTGTTATCTAATGTTATTTCAGGAATAGTTATATTTGATATTAATTCTAATGCATAATGGGCACCATTCTTTACTTCGAAAGGTACCAAGCATTTATTTTTCCCATATTATACTTTATTTTTTACTATATAGCTTACCTTTATTTATAAATCGGAATTTCCGGGAATTTTGGGAGGTCTTTCGGGCATTGTAAAACCGTTTAAGCGGGCTAGTTTTGTATCGAAAAGTAATTCTATAGGTTATGAGGATGCATTTACAATTTTTATCGTTTTGCTCTTTGGAGAATTTATTACTACATTTCCAAAATCGCATATAAATGTATTTAATGTTATTCTTTCATATAATTTAGACTCTACACAAGGCTATTTATCTAATATAGTTTTATTTATTATTGGCTATTCGGAAATCAAATTATTTAAATATTATTGTTCAAGTGCTTCTTAGATTAATTAACAATATAATTATCTGTCTAATTCTTTAATTATTTCGTTTTCAATTTATTCGATAGACTTTATTTAAGAAAATGAATTTGAATGAGTTTTTTCTTAAGCCTATAGTTTATATATTATTTTTAATAAATATAAAATTTTTGCATTAAAAAAAAAATGTAATTAATAATTTTAATTATAACAAAAAAATTACCTTAGCAATTAGTTAAGCTCTTTTTAGTTAAGCTTCTCTTTCATTTTTTTTCTTTTCAAATTCTTCCTAGTATTTAGCAATATATTATTCAGTCTGATGTTTATCAAGGTTAACTAAAATAGCCGAATAAAAAGCTTTAGCTGTTAAAACAATATTTTCAGGCTCAAAATATCCTATTTAGACTTAAATAATTTCTTTGAATTCACTAGGCATGGCAGGGCATATTCTAACACTAATTTTTTATTTTTCTCCACCAAGAATTCTTCCTTGTAAACTACTGCATTCCACAAAATTTTTTCTTTTGACATTATCAAGTAAGATTTTGTACTCGAAAGTAACCTTTCCATTATTTTCAATCAAAAAATCTTTTGTTACCCAATCACAGAATCTAACATCTCCGAAATCTATTTATTAAATAGATAATTTATAAACAATTAAAGAAGAATCTCCAATTAAAACTACTTCATATTTCGGGCCTCCTTCAACATGGCAAACTGCTGTAGTTTAAAACTTTTAACCTGCATAAGCATTATATACAAATTCTACTTACTATGTTTCTCCTGCTTCTAAATATCCGGAAAGTGGTAAAATATCAAATACTTCATTTATAGGGATTGTTAATATTCCATCCTATTTATTGTATTTCAACTCATCTTCAAGAAAAGTCCAATCATAATATAAGCTCATTTCAGATGTATTTTGCATATTTACAAGCATTTTTTTGGATGTTTCATTGAGTATTGCTCCAAAATTAATGCTTGTTTATTCCAATTTTATATTAGGGAAGCAAACTTCTCCTACTAAATCAATAGTGTCTTTATGTGGATGATCTTAATGTGTAATTGTTAATTTACCTAATTATTCGCCTGAAACTCTATCGACTTTATATCCCGGATCGAAATCTACTCTTATTATTTCCTTTTCTCCATAAGAAAGTTATACTTTTTCTTTATTTATTGAAAATGGAGGAATTGTTTTTAACATGAAATTTGTCTTTAAAATTGAAATGCAGGTAATTTCTAAGTCCTTTGATATTTGCATAAAGGGAACATTTTTCTCCCAAATATATTTAAAATAAATCTTTTTTTCATTAAATTTTAAAGTGGGCCTTATAAATTCTCCCTCAATTGTTGTTTAATATAGTTAATGGGATTTTCTATCATTTCCTATTACTGAATTTAGTATAAATTATTCTTAAAACTTTCCTGTTTTGACAGCATATGCTCTGAATTAAAACATTATTCCATGCTTAGCTGGTAAAGTAACACTTTCAGGTGCTATATTAAATAAATGGTTCTCTTCTTATGGTTATTATTAGTTTTGTGAAGTGTTTTCCATTTTACTTTTTAACAATTGGGATTTCTCATCTATTGGGAAAAATTTCTTTTTTTCTATTTTTCGTTACCAGGTTAGTTTTTAGGGTTTTCTGCCTTTATTTTCCACAAATATTTCCTAATATTCAGCATGGTGTGTATATAAAGTTTTAAAATTAACATTTGTTATGTCATCTTTGCAAAATATCGTTGAACCTACTCCCTTTGCTTTTAATACTACATCAATATCCATTCCATCTTTTATTACAAAATGTAGCATATCTTAGAATTTTATAGAATCGTCTGCACAACATATAATTTCTACATCCATACTTTCTTCAGGTTTTAATATACCATATTTTTATATTGGTTTAAATATTGAAACCTATTTTTTTTTATATTTATATTTTTTAGAATTTTTTTATTTTTACTTTATTTTTTGTAAATGCTCTATAGTCTGCCTCTATTTTAGAACGATTAGTAATTGTAATTTTCTAAGAATATTCTTGTAAAACTTAAACATTTCCGAAATCTATTTCTCTTAATTATTCACCAACAAGAACTTTAGGACCAACAGATTAAGCTATAATATTAATAATTTAAGGTAAATTATTATTACTTCCAATAATAACAATCTTTATTTATTTTTGTTTAAAAAATATATATATAAAATAAAAAAATACAGCTAAAGGAAGTGTAATATCTCCTAATCTATTAGTAACTAATTTTACTTAAATAGTAAAAACTTCTCCAGGTTTTATAATTCCAGAAGAAGGTTCTACTTCATAAGAAGCGAGAATTTTACTTTCCACTTTTTATTCTTAAACTTCAAACTTAGCCTACAAATTGGAATTATTAATTAATTAAACAACTTAAATATCTCTATGTTTAAGGAATATTTCTCCGAAATCTAATCTATCTTTAGGTTTCAACTCAACTTAAGGAACTTCTGATTCTGCTTTAATAGTTAGGCATTTCATATCCTAAGCCACCCCTTCAATATCAATAGTAAGAACCATTTCATATTTTTTTGTATATCTAGGTGTAAAGACAATATTTATATCAATTGTTTCACCTGGTGCTATTGTCCTATTAGCCTTTTCTATATGAAATTCTTTTTCTTTCATTTTTCCATCTCCCGGAATTCTTAAATTATAATCAAAAGGTACTGTTGACTTGTTTATTAATTTAAGAGTTTATTCTTAAGGGAAATTAAATGAAACTTTTCCAAAGTCAATTACTTCGCGATCAAACTCAAATTACGGAGCTCTTATATGCCCTATAAATAGTGCAGAAAGAAAATTTACAGAGCCTTCTAATCTCCAACGAAATGTTTCTTTGAATTCCCCTGGTTTAGAACTTTTAAATTAAACACGAATTTCTTGTTTCTCTCCAACTTTTAATGTACCTATAATTTATATATATATTTTTTTTTAATTGAATATAAATTACTCATTTCAGGCATAAACTTAAACATTTTACCGAAATGACGTTCATTTGGTAATAACTCATATTTACATTCTATTTCGCCTTCATTTTCTATCATTATAACTACATTAATTACTTCATTTACAAAGGGATCGCCTAAGTTTATTTCATTTTAGTTTAAACTCGCTTAAGGTCCTATACCAACCCCTTATAATTATAATGATAATCTATCTTAAATACAAGAAATATTACAGTAAGCAGGACACTTATACGTGTGGGAACCTTTAGGCTTGAAAGTTAAAGTTATAGTCATTTCTGAATTAGCCCAAATTTATCCTTGAATAGGCTCTATTGAAAAAATATCATCTTAAAATAATAATAAATCATCTTCAATAGCCTAATTAATATTTTTTTTAATTAAATGATTATTTTAAAATAAAAAAATACTTTTCTAATATCTCTATATTTTCGAGCTAACGTTAATTCAGCTTTTTTTTATCTTTTTTAAATAATAGCTTTCTCATCTCTATCTTCTTCATCATCTTCTTCTTCGGAATTAATATTGTTTTCAACTTCATAATCTCCATTATTAACTTCATTATTTACAATTTCTTTCAAAAGCATTTTTTCTTCTGCTTCTTCTTATTAGAGCTATTCTTTTAATCTATTTTTTTTTTCTTATTCTTCTTTTTCTGTTACAAAAGCTCTCCATTCAAAATCAACTTTAACTTCTGATTTATTAATAATTTAAACAGTTGCCTAAGACAATAAACCTATATAAGATTCATCCATTTCAACTAAGTTTTTAGATAAATAAACAAGATGATTTTACGCAACTCCATAAATAGGAATAAAAGCTTATAAATTATCGTATTTTAAAACTGCTTCACTTTTATAAGGTTTGGTTTCTTTAGGAAAGAATTTCATAACTATTTGTTCATTTTTTCCATATTCCAAAACTCCTTCTTTTTTATCAGCTTGGAAATCTTAAGGTAAATTCAAAAACCATTTAGTAGTTTTTTCGCCCAAATTTCTTATTATTATTGGTTTTTCAGTTATATATTTAACTGGGCAATTTCCGAAATCCAGTTCATCTGGAAAATCAATCATAGCCCTTTTCCCAATAGCATATATAGGAACAATGAATTATTCTCTTTCAGTAACTACAACTAATTCATATTAATAATCTATTTTTGCTTCTGGAGAAAATTTTATTACGAAACAAGCTTCCATCCCTGGAGCTATTTTATTTCCAACGTATGTTTATTGATCATATTGTTATTGGGCTTTATTTTTAGAATATTAAGAAGATGTATTCTAGGTGACTGGAATTACCTAAAATAAACGAGAATCCGGTTATAATATTTTAACTCTTCGGGCTACTTTATCTTTGTTTCTTAAACGAAATATCTTTTCTTTTAATTACAAAGGCTCATAATCAGTGAATTAGATTAAATGAGGAATCGGCTCAAATAATGGCTCGTCTATTGGAATATCGGTATTTGTATAAATCGAATAATCTGCTAGATTCAAAAATTTCTTTATTTAAGGCTTCTTGTAAAAATCTTCCAATATGTTTCCGCTTAATAATTTTTGTACTAATTCACTTGGAGTCTGATTTTTTTTTTAAATTAGTTTAATATTATATTAATATATATGAATTTTATTAATTTTATGAATTTTTTGCTGTTTTTTATATTTTTACAAGTTTTGCAGGCACTTTTTATGCTGCTTTTGCTAAATGTTATATGTTTTATATATTGCCTTTTCCAAATGACTACTACATTTTTTTTTTTCTTTTTTTTAATTTTTTTTTAAAATAAATTAATTTTTTAAAAAATTACATGATAAAAATTATTTATTTTATTTTTATTTACTTATATATAAAAATAAATTTTTTAAAATATTAAAAATGCAACTAATATTTTCTTTTAATACATATTAAATTTTAAAATATTTATTTTGAAAATTTAATCTAAATCTCTAAATTTATAAAAAATTGAAAACAATATCAAAATATTTTATTATTTAAATTTTTTTTCATTTAATACAAATTAAAATAAATAATTTAAATTATTTTATTTAAAGATTTTATATAAAATTTCCTTAATTCCAAAATTATGATAATTAAATAAATAATGTTTTATTTTAGATTTTAATATACAAATATTAAAGATTTTTTTCGAGATAAATTTATAAATAGTCATAAACTATTTTTATATATATAAATTAATTTCAAAATAAATTTTTGTGTCTATTTAATTATTATTACAAATTCAAAAAAATATGAAAAAAAATGTCAAATATTATGTACGAAAGTAATTATAGATTTTATTTTTATATAAATCATATTGATAATACATTTGCAACATAAAGAAACATTATTTTATATAATTTAAATATTAAATATATCTTTCAAACTGGTTTTATCTATATAATAAAATTAAATTATATATATACTTATTATAAAAAATGAATATTTACTCTAAAATGTAAACTTACAAGCGAAAAAACCAATTATTTTAAATCCTTTTTTAATAAAAAAATAATAAAATTAAATACAAGAGTATACTATTTACCTAAACTAAATAAAAAAATACACTCAAACCATCTGCATCTTTAGTTTCTTTAATATCTATTAATGATCCTATTTTAGATGTCTATTATAATATTATTAGAATAAAAATAAATTATTATTTAAATTACTGAAAAGCTTATATGGACTTTTCCTAACTTAATTTCTAATTCTTATCTTCCAATCTTATCTGGACGAGGCCAATCTTTATCATCTTCTCTGTATATAATTAAGATTATTATTTTAAATAAAAAGCTATCAAAATATATATTATTGATACTTTAATATTTAACTTTCATCAATTATTTTTTTGATTTATTTTATTACAATATCATTAATAAAAACTTCTTTTCTTATTAATTTATCACTTCTGTAATTTGAATTATTTGCATATCTAAGTCTTCCATCTTTTCTGATTTCAAATTCTAAAAATTCATGTCCATATTATCCTTTATGTCCAACACTTGTTTTTTTTTTTTTAATTTATTATTATTATTTAATTATCTTAGTTTATTTTTAATTTCTAAATTTTAAATTTACTAATAACGAACGTATAAATCTTCTGATTCCATTTTATAATTTTTTTGAATTTTATATATATTTATTTTTCTTTTTATTTAATAAAATATATATAATAATTTAAAATTATTTTATTAAATATATATATATTAAAATATCTTTTAAAAAATAATATTTTAGTATTTATTAATAAAATATAGATAAATTATTTTAAATAAATATTACTTTTTATCATAATTAATATTAATTTATTCCTTAAAGACTTAATTAAAAAAAGGGCATAATATATTTTTTATCGTATTTATTATTTTCATTAATTGAGTTTTTTTTTTTATAAAAAAACAATAAAATAATATATAACAAAAATATAAGTATTATAAATTTTAATAAAAAAATATTAATTTGTTAAAAAAAAACAATTCATTTAATTAACCTATCAAACTCATTTAGATTAATAGATTTAATATTCATTTAATCATCGTATTTAATATCTAAAATATTTTAATTTAAATAACATTTATCCTGTTTATATTCTTAATTACAATTTTTTTTATTTTCCTTAAACCAAATTTAAATTAAATTACAAGCCGGACTTTCAAAAATAACAGAAAATATTAAACCAAAAAAGCAGGTTAAAAAAAGTAGAAAATAAAATTCAAAAGCATAATTTCCACTCCCACATATTCAGCATCAGATGCACTCCAAACATTCATCTAAATAATAATAAAATGGACTAAATAACCTCCAAAGGAAATTTTAACAATAAATAATATAATTTTACAGCCGAAAATTTCATTTAAAGTTTCTTATCCTACACCAAATAAAAAAGGAATAACAAAAAGAGTAACTCCAAAAACATAAAGTAACCTACTAATACTATACCAAATAGATTATAGCCCTATAGGCCAATTTTCATCTACTTATAAGCTTCTAGGGACAAAAACAAGAATTAGAATAATAAAAATTCCAAAAAAAGTGAACAAATATTTACTCCATTTTTACTATTCCAAAATATTTTATATATTTACAAAAATTCCTTTTTTATCTTATTTGAATTCTCTATAGAAAACTCCTAAAATGACCCCAAAAATATATGGAGGATATCTAAACCATGGTTTAGAGTAGTATTTATCAAATTAATTTTCTAAAAAAAGACTTTATATGCTTATTAAAACTTGCAATTTCCATATAATTGCAAAAATCATTCCCAAAAGTTAAAATAAAGCTAGAGATGAAAACATCAAAATTTTTCCTAAAAAAGGTTTTTTTGTATAAATTACTAAAATAAATATTGTAAATACAAACATTTAGATATCATTTGATAAATACCATCCCCAATTAAAACATAATTAAGCATTTGGCCACATATTATCTATAAAAAGTAATTTTTACCACCAATAAATATCACAATTTTCTACTTGCTCAATATATTAATCATATACTGGTCCTTTAGGCATAAAATGACTCGAAATTTGCCAATAAAACATAAATGAAGCAACATAAATGGAATAAATTCTCATTAATCTATTAAAAAAAGCTAAAGAAATGTTTTTTAATATATTATTTTAACCAGAAAATTTTTCTATATTTTTTTTATCGCAAAAAATATAAGCAAGAAAAAATCCTCCCATATAAAAAAAAACGTCTACAGAATATAAGCATGATACTACAATTAAAAAAAAAGTCTTTTTTTATAAAATTTAAATATCCTAAAAATTTTAGAAATAGAAAAAATAATTCAAAAATTAATGTCCAAAAACAACTTATATAAATGAAAAAGCCCTTATCATATTAAAAACATTAAAACTATTATCGTTTCTTCCTTCTAAATTTGTTATTTTTTAAAAATTCTTTTACAAATTAAAACATTAAATCCATTATATTTATTCAAAATTAAATAATGAAATTATCCCTAATATTAAAAATATACTCGTGTATATTATTGCTAGGATAAATCCAGTTTTCATTTCTTAATTTTTGTTTGGATAATTAGTAAAAAATACTGATTCAGGAGAAATTTTTTCCTTATTGTTAAAAAGATCATTGTATTCTTTAATAAAATAAGTTTTATTTTATTCTAAAACATCAGCATTACATTATTTATATATGCATATTCCCTTATAAATTTTATATTAATCATTTACTTTATATACAATTCTAACAAATACGTTAATATTACTATTTAAGCAAGATTAAAAGTCTCCAAAATCGTTCCATTATGTTCCTGAATATAATATAGTTTAAGATAAAAAAGGATCAGTGTAATTTTTCTATTAAATTTGAAATTTTATTTAATTTAAATATTAATTACATTTCTAAAAATCGTCGTTTAAAGCATTTTTATAATCTTATTTATTTTCTGTTTTGATCATTTCTTATTCATTTTATTTTTTTTGTTCTTTTTCTTAATATTATTATTGTTTTTTTTTATATTATTATTGTTTCTCTTTCCCTTTTTACTAATTTATTTTCATTTGTTCATATATTTACTATTTTTATTGTACTATTTATTAAAAAATTTTATTACTTTCATCTTCTGACTATTAAAATTTTTAATTTTTTGATTATTCCATTTTTATTAAGTCTTTTTATAAAGAAATAATAAAATATAAGAAAAATAAGATGATTGTTTGTGTAATATTCATTTTTTTCAAATAATAATTTAATATATTGAATTTGAAAATATAATATTTAAAGATTAATATGCGAATTTTATAATATTTAATAAGAATTAAATAATATGAGAATTTTTAATATTAAGTATTAATAATAATATTTTTATTTTTCTTAGTAATTTTAATTACTTTTAATCAATAAAAATAATTTTTTATAAAGGATAATTTTTATAATTTCTTTTTTATTTATTATAATATTTTTAATTAATAATTTAAGTGGCAAAACCCCTCTCTGTATATCCGGTAATGTATAAAAGCAAAAAATGAAATCAGATTTAAATAAGCTAAGATATAAAAGGTGGGGTCCTGAACCAAGCCCAAAGGGCGTGGTTTTAGCAGTTTCCGCACTCTAGCGAAAAGCGAGCCAAATTACCAACGATATTGATCAGTATTGCCTGCATACGATGATCCCAATATGTATATTGATTTATAGTAGATAAATACCTATAAGCGATGACTTCGGTTGTACAAGAAAAAAAAGAAAAAAGTTTTTTTTTATATATTAAATAAATGCTTGATTGATTATATTATTATAAAGTAAGTTTTAACTTAAATAAAAAAAAACTTAAAAATATAATATAATTAAAATTATATATATAAATTTTTAAAATAAATATTATTATAACATTATTTATTACTTTTTCTTATTCTTTTTTCATAATTCTGTTTTAAATAAATTAAAGAAAAAAAAAAATATATAAAAAAGATATAAATAATTAATAATGAATAATTAATGAATAATTATTATCAATTAAAAAAAATAAATATTATATTTTTAATTACATAAGCTTATCAATTTTATACTTTACAAAAATATTTTTTAGTAATTATCTATTGAAACCTTTCTTAATATCCTTTAGGTTCTATAATAGTTGGATTTTACCTATAATAAATTTTTTTCATTTCCGATTCAGCGATTTTCAAAAGATCATATTGTCTAAAGTAATCAATAATACCAAATTTAATTTTTAGCTAATCAATAATAATAATTACTAATAAGGAATAATCCACAATTTTTTATTCAGCTAAAAATCCACAATCTTATCTAATAGTTCTATCAAGTTAAATATAAAAGGAATTTTCTAAAAATAAAGGTTCCGAATTAAAATCAATTTAAAAATTAATATCTAGTCCAACGTCACAATTTTTAAGAAATCTATTAATAGAAGAACCTTTTAAATCATAAACTTTACATTTACTTTTATCAATTCCAAAAAAAAGATTTTCCATTACAGCATAATGTTTTTTTGTATTATCTTAAACAACCTCATATAACCCAAATATTTTACATAATAAAGAATTCCTTCTGTGATTTTCCTATTGCGTACATATGTTATTAATATTAAACATATACTCAAAATACTATTTTGCAAAATTTTGGAACATTTAAAATTCTTTTTCTAATATTTCCTTTATTAAGAAAAGATCGTCATATGTTTTACGAAACTGATTTTAAGTTTAGCCTCCAGAAAGCTTTACAAAATTTGAACATAGAATAGATAAAATATAATCTTCTAAATTTATTTTATGAATACTTCTTAATTACTAAAATTCGTTTGCAAAAATAATATTTACTTTACATATTTTTTGGTTTTCTTTATAGTTTTTATTAGAATTCAATCTTTAATTAAAACTACTATTTATTATTTAATCTTATGAAATAATTTCTTTTTTTTCAGTTTATTGTTATTCTGTTGTTTATTATGTTTATTCTTATTTTTCTTGTTTTTCCTGTTTTTAATACTTTTCTTATTTATCAATTTCATTTGTTTATATTAAATTTTACAAAGAATTATAGAAATATTAATCCATTTATTATATGTCTTTATTTTCTTCTATATAATATTCTATATAATCTTCAGATATTTTCTATTTTTCTTTTATTAATTATTCTTAACTACAATTTTATACTTAAATAGAATTAATTTATTATTTTCTTTGTTATTCAATAATATTATTATCATTATATTTTTCTTCTGTATATATTTAATTATCTAAGCTAAATAAAGTATATGAAGATTTCTATTTTTTTTTGTTCTAACAAATAAAATTTTAACTTTTTAAAGAATCTAATGTATATGATTCTTACATTGATTTAAAATATTAGTTTCTTTTAAAGTTATTAATTTATTCTTATTTTTAGTTAAAAATGTTATCATATTATTATACTATGTCTTGTTCTAATTAATTTATTAATTCTATTGTTATTTTATTTTCCACTTTTTACTCTTCCTATTATTTATTTGAATTATCAAAACCTTATCCTTAT